TTAATTTCATTACCAAGAAAAACAGTAAAGACAATATCGCTTTGAAACCGCGAATTTAGATGTTATTTCGAGGCGAGATGTTATTTTACCATGGAAAAACAAGATATAAGAGTTTACCTACAGTAATCCTAAAATACTCTTAACAATAATTTCTAACTTCCAATACACAACCTGCAAAAGAGAGGATTTTTTTAGCCCACCAATAGAAAAAATAAATAAATAAACCGGCATTGTGTAACCTAAATATAAACCTAAAAATGACAAATGAAAACTACATCAGTCAGAAAAAAGCTCCATTTTTTTTAATCACAAATATGCCACAAGTATTCACGCTGTGAACTTTAGATAATACCTACTATGAATCATATAGAAATGAGGAGACTAAAATAATAAAATCAAGCAGAATCAATCAATACCCCAGAAGCAAAAAGAGAAAAAAAAAAAAATCCAAAGGAGACAAGGATGAGAATAACTTATAAAACAGGGGAAAATTTAAAATATTCTCAAACATTAAACAGATGCATTCTGCTTAGACAGATAAAAGGCAATAGAAGTCACCGTTCCTCACGCGAAACATCAAAAAAGAAAAAAAATCCAAATACAAAATAAGTGGTAACTAAAAATAAAGAGAAAGTGAAAAAAAAAAAACATAAATGAAATGAAAACATGAAAAATAATAAAATAAGATCGAAACTTGCAAAAGAAAATTGAAATTCAGAATGGGTGGAAAAAACAGACATTAAAAGAGGAGCGATACATAAAGGAAAAGGACACGAAACTAAAAAAGAAATGTATAGTTTTAAAAAGTGGACCACGAGAGCCTAAGCGGATATCCTGGGAAAAAGGATAGAAACTAAAATCGAAATGTATAGTTTTAAAAAGTGGACCACCGAGAGCCTAAGCGGATATCCTGGGGGTCCGCGTGAACCAGCTAGTCGATCGCCTAGGCTCGCACACTACTCAGGGGCGCCTAGGCTCACACACCGCTCAGGGGAGGAGGGATCGCCTAGGCTCGCGCACTACTCAGGGGCGCCTAGGCTCGCGCATCGCTCAGGGGCGGAGGGGGAAATGCGGTTGAGAGCATTTTCAGTGGGGAAAATGCGGTTGGGACTATTTTTTAGTTATTTTTTAATACTAAAAGTGATAAAATTGTGGGTTTTAATATGGTAAAATAGGTTTTTTTTTAAGAAAGAAAACTTATTAATTTTTTTTTTCCGCCGTTATGAGCGCTCGCCAATGTTTCGGTGGCTTGGACGCTCAGCCTAGATGCCGCTTAGCGCTATTTGAAATACTTTCGAACTTCATGTAATAATCAAAATAAAAAAACCATATCATTGCTGAATCTAATGATAGACGATCGTACATGTAAATCAAAAGCATACTATAACGATAAAAAAGAAAACGTAATTCATTAATCTCACGTCTAGAAAGAAGAGGAAAAAACTTTTAGAATTTAACACTTTTTCTCTTCTCGTGACAAAATTAAATTAAACTTGAAAATAGAGAAAAAGCAGGGACAAAAAATGACAGAGCAAAGAAAAATACAAAATTAGAATTTTCATTTCACTCACGTTATAGTTGGTAACCGATCTCTCAACTTCTCGCGATCACATTTGACAACCAAAACCCGCGGGAACATACTCTTTGTTCACTTACCAACCTTCCACGTGTGGATCTAGTACCCCGAATTTGGGTATGGTAGCAAACCCACAGCCTAGGGATAAGGGTGCCAATGGACCCTAACCCGGACCCGAGACCCGTCGGGTATATCTGACACGGTTTCGGATATGGGTCTATATTTGGACTCGATGGGTCGGGTCCAGGTCCAAAACTTAGACCTATACACTATTTGGGTCCGGGTCTGGGTCCGACCCGTACCCGTACCCGTAAACTCTAGAAGATAAAATACTTCAAGCCCTATTCATTCACATGTAATAAATATCATATACAATAAGAACTCATCATCATCTTTAGCTATTAAACGATTAATCAACAACTTGAAATCTAATGGCGGGTAGTTGTGGCCTTGTTGCTGATAATATGTTATGGATAGTAAAAAAAAGGCAAAAAAAAAGAGAGAAAGGAAGCCCATAGTGAGGGTGGCAATAAACCCGATTCGAGTTAGGACCGGATGGGTACGGGTATAAGTGAAACTTTTGGACTCGACGGATTGGGTCTGGGTCCGATACCTAGACCCGAATACGATTTGGGTCTGGGTCGAGGTCCAATCATTTACGACCCGTTGCCACCCCTACTTAAGGACCTGGATAGAGGAAATAAATAAAGGGCAAAATTTATATGCCCTAGGTTTTATGAAAACAAAATAAAGCTTTATCTCAAATCCTCATTTGAAAATCACTTTCGATAACAGAAATCTCTTAATCGAAATTGCATGACGTATTGGAATCAGCCATGCAGAGTTAAAACCCAAAAAAATAAATATGAAGATAGTATCAAACTTTAATTTTTAAATAACGATAGATTATTCAAATATCCATTTTCTGCTTCTGGTTATGATACTGAAGTCTAGTAGGTGAACACTTTGAAATAGATGGTACAATCAATCTGCTAGAAGAAATACAATGTTCAAGGCATGGAATCCATCATTATTTTTTTCAAATCCATGATTATTGTCGTTGTAAAAGATCAACAAAAAGATGGAGAAGATTGACTAAAGAGTTTGGAATCCCCCTGCTTTCGCGATATATTTTCGAAGCAAATGACACAATTAGCCCTAATCCGTTGTGGTCTGGTGTGTTTAGATACTTGGCTCTCAGTCGAGATGCCCAAGTTCAATTCCGGGCAACGGTAGTCTTTCTAAGAAACGGTCCAATTTTTCTTCTTTCTGTTTTGGATTTTACAAAATTTATGGTAGTTTTCACACAAGACAAAAGGATCAACATGATGTCAAAGAATTATACTAATAAAATGCCAAATACTTTAATTATTGTGGGCAAAATTGTCAGATTTGTTTCGGTGTCTTCTTCGGATTAGTGATAAAAATGGAGTAATTTGGTGCTTCAACCAATTCATCAGATTTTTTTTATTTAGTATAAATAAATTAGATATTTATATATAAAATAAAAGGTTTTGAGCACCAAACATTGAAAAAATGATTTTGATATTGTTGGAGTTTGGTTGGTTGAAATGGGGGAAGAAAATGATACAATTTGCAAAAATAGGATCTCAAACTCTTTTCGTTTTCGGGTATGCATGAGCGCTATCTCAATGTGATATTTCCCCCCCTCCCCCCCCCTTCGATAAATTATTTGATGTGCATAAGAAAGGCAATTCGTCCTCGGGATATAGGAAAACATAGAGGTTTTTTTCAATATTCTTAAGCTCTATGCACTCGGACTTGGAACCTACACAATAGACATCTAAGTCTTGATAGTTTAGAGAGATAAAGAAATAAAATTGAGTAGAGAGTGAGTTAACTCACTGGTTTGCTTGCTGGAATTGCAAAGAATAGTTTATTGAGATAGGCTCAAAAATTGGTTTGTTGTAGTAGTTACACGCATCACTCAATAATTACTAGTTACATTAGTGTTGTGGTGGTTACATGCATCACTTAACAACTACAAGTTACATGAGTTACATGCACCCCAACAACTACAAGTTACATGAGTTACATGCACTTGATGGATGCTGCTACAAGCCCTCATCTCATCAACGGGCTAGATGACCGTTGGATGTCCCATACTCGTCAACGGCTAGATGATCGTTGGATGTCTCACACTCATGGACGACTAGATGACCGTTGGATGTGCTGATGCGAGTGTGCAAAGTACAAAGTATGCTATCAAGCTGCCTTGCGCCTACGCACTTGCATTTTTTAAATACACTTAAGCATTTTCGAAGTTGTTGTTTTGAAATACACTTAAGCATTTTTCAAACAAAAAATACTAACAGATATGAACAAGATGTTTACGATATCAAATAGTTGAAAAAGACTTTGATGATGATGATGAAACATCTTATACAAGAGCGCATACAACATGCTTCGATTTTTTTTTTTTTGATGTTGAAAAATGGTTTTTGTATCTTTGAACACCTAAATTTTACTTGTCTCAGGATTTTTGGGGGCACACAAATAATTTATTTATTTATTTTTATTTTTTGAAGTTGGTAGCTAAATTGTGAAGAGGATACATCCCCAAAATAGTTTGGAATAAATGCTCCTGAGTACGAAATCTTGTTACGAATAGAGAAAACCCATTAGAAGTAACGTAAGAAGCACATATTGAGTGGAGTAAACCAACGGGAATGTGAGAAGCACAAAACCGGTCCATGCCATGCGACTTTGTAGTTTATTGTTTCCAATCAATATTATTAACATCACACCGCCTACTGAATCGGTGAAGGATGTGGTCCAGTCCAATGTTGTTAGATTCTTTTATGAGTTTTTTTTGGTATGGTGAGAAAAATGAAACATTTCGGTGTTTTGATAGATTTAAGAGAAGGCTTCATACTTTTTTTTCAGTATAAATAAATTAGCTATTAATACATAAAATATATAAAATAATAATAATAATAATTATTATTATTATATAGTTATTTCTTTGCTGGCCAAAACAGACATGAAGGAAACCCAAAGCAGACCCGAATATGACCGAAGCGGTCGCACCAGGTTTGCTGCTCTTCAGTTTATGCCTAAAATCCGAAGTTTTCAGTTGAAGCGGAGCGAATTTGATAACATTGATCCAGTCAAGACCGATCTTACTATTGGTTGAACCAGTTTGACCAAATTTTAAATGTATTACAAAATATGTAATAGTTTAAAATATATAATATATTAAAATAAAAGGCGGTCATCTTTGTTTGTCCAGTCAGCCAAACAATAGTTTTGACTAATTTTTTTTACCAAATATAGTTTTTATATTGGATTAGACTGGTCAAAGCACCAATTGATGGGTCGACCGGCCAACTCTTTCCAAATTGCAAAGTATCACATCTTATTTTTTTTTCTTTTTTTCATCTCTCTCAAAAGGTTTTTTTACAGCTGAGCAAATAAATTGAAGTCATCCCTCGCCATTTATCTGTGCCATAAAAACCCAACAAACTCCAAAGCCGAACACCAAGGAATCATATTGAAGAAGAAGCAGCGGAGTTGAAGCCATTCCTCACTCCAGGTACGCCCATTCCACTCTTTTTAGGGTTTTTGCGAGAAGGTGTTTATAAAATTTAGAGAGAGAGACTATTTCTAAAATTTAGAGAGAGAGAAATCGAGAGTTCTGAGCTCAAGTCGTGCCTCATAGAGAGAGAGATGCTCTTTTTGTTCAGAAAACCATGAAGCTGGATTGCTTTGAGAAGAGGTGATAGTTTAAAAGGAATGGTAAGGGAAATTTGAGTTCTCTTTAGAGGGTATGTTTTTTCTTGGGTTTATTGTAACTGTTGTTTTTCTTTGCTCTGTTGTGCTTATTCTGTACTCTCCATTATCAAGGGGTTTGTGGGTTCATTTTTCTTTTCATGTTGAGGGGTTTGAGTTTTGCTAATCTATGTGATTTATGCCATTTCGCTTGATGGAATCTTCAGTTTTCTCATGTTTTACGGTTCAGTGGATTGTGCTGTAATAAATTGTCCAAATCTCTCTCTCTCTCTCTCTCTCTCTCTCTCGGGTGTTCTCAACACCATCATTTGGATGCCATGGGATAAAATTTGGGTTGTTTCTCTTATTAGAGATTGTTTTAGAATCAATATATGTAGGAGCTTAAATCACAACTGTTTTAGTCATGTTGTATTTGTACCTCTGGATGCAGAACTATGTTTGATTTAGAAAATTCACATTCACCAGGTTTTCTATTGGTTTACATGATTACAAAAACTAGCTTAGGAAATTCACATTCACCAGGTTTTCCATTGGTTTACATGATTACAAAAACTAGCTTAGGAAATTCACATTCACCAGGTTTTCTATTGGTTTCTGTGATTATGAAAACCAGCTCTTGCTTTATAGAGTAGTTCAAGCCCCAAATAGGAGAGCATAGTTGTTGAAGTAGACATTACAAACTTGTATTGATAGGTTCTCTAAGTTCTAAGAGGCTGAATCCACCAAAGTTGTTCTTGTTAGGGTTTATGGACCACATTATGGCCATCAACTTAGGATAACTTGTGCATACTATTAAGGAGGTTGAACACAAGTCTCGGTTCCTTAACTGCTTGTTGTTGAGTGCATCAGTAAGCTTCATTTCTTTTCGATGTTTTCGTCGTCGATTGGAATCTTTTGTCGATATTAGCCTGGGATATGGCATTCATTTTCATGCTTCCTTTGCTATGGGTATCATCTTTAAGTGCATGTTTGTTTTGTAGAAAGGGGGCTGCCAAAGACTCCTCTTCCACACTTTGGAAGCTCAGTGACGTCTACAAAATACATAAGATTCATAGGGTCTTGATCACAGTATTGATAGACTTTCATTCACATGACATTTTTTATTGTTATCTAGAATCAAATGATATGTAGCATAAGTTTTCTGACCAAAGTAACAAGGCTTGATCTTTCTTGGGTTGCTTTTAATAGAGTAGTTTTCACAGGAGATTCCCATAAAAATCTAAAGAAAAATCACAAAAATATGAAATTACAGAAATCAGTTTGGTATGCAAGAAATCTGGATGTTGCTGCATTATATGTTATTGATTTAGGGAATGATGTTAATAACAGAATGTTATGCTATGGAAATATTTGATCCATAATATATGTGTGTCATTCAGCATATAGATATCAGTGCAACCCCCTTACCTCTCAAGATCCAACCAAGGCAAATTGGACTACAAATAACGATGAATTCATGGTTGAACAATTAATAAAATTAGATTTTGCTGGGAAGCGGTCCAAAGAAAAGAATTCCTCTCTTCAAAGTGGCATCAACATATCCTTATGAAACACAAGTTAAGATAGTCGTTGCTGCTTGCACTTTACATAATCATATCCGAACTATAACATGTGGTGATGATTGGCTCTATGAGAAGTATGATAGGGAAATTGCATGTGGATCAGTTGAAGGAACAAATATTGAATATAACAATGTAAACCCTCAAGCTGATAAAAATGATAGCGATGAACTGCGAGATCGTATTGCTATAGCACTTTGGGATGACAATTGTGTTCACCGTTGATCATAATATGGCACATAAATATAATTGGTTGTAGTCATGTTTTCTAGTATTCTCTTTTGTGGCAAAATTTCCAATACTTTGAATTATAATATTAATTACTTGGGGTATTGTTCATGGGTTGTGGAAATGGTGTGAAACTCATTTAAAAATATAGTTGTTCATTCTCCTCTCTATGCCTATGGAATTTATTAAACGTATGAAAGAACATAGTTTAAAATCAAGGTTGGTCAAAACTTTTTTATGTAATAAGAAAAATAAAAAAAAAATACGAATTTAGAATTTATTGCAACGCATCCAAACAACATATCAGACAAATAAAAGTTTCTTCTTTTAATAGACATCCAAACAGTCTACCAACATAATAAAATAAAACGGTAATGTTCTCAATTGAGGAGAAAAAATTGCATTTTTTTCAATGCGAATATGCTTTTCTTTGACATCCAAATTGGGCCTAAAGTTGATAAATAAAAATAAAAATATATTTTAGTATTGAAACTACATTTCTCGATACTATTTGAATGTAGGCTCTAATTTGATTGTTTAGAACCTAGGCTCCATACAACCCGCATCATAAATAAATTTCTAAATATATACTCGGAGGGTGGATCTAGCCTGGGCATGATCTCAATCACAGTTGCATGTAGTTGTGTTTATTTGGAACTTTGGATGACCCTTACCATGTGGTTTTTTGCCTCTAAGATCGTCGCAATTCTAAGCATAGTGTTTGCTTTCACCTAAGAGAGTTCAACGTGTCCTTCGTTTTAGGGTCGGCAACATTGGGACCTGAGTCGGGCCAGCCTTGGCCATGGCCCGGCCCTTGTCACTGCAAGCCTGAGTTTAGAATAGGCTGAAAGGGCCCTAGCTTCAGCCCGGGCCTAATGTTGTGGCCCAAGCCCAGGCCCCACATCTTGTGATCTAGGCCCTAGTTTTTTTAGGGTTGGGCCACACAGCCCATTGCCAGGCCACCTAATTTAAATCGTGGATTTTTCAAAATAGTTCCATGTTGTGTAGCTCAAAATCACCTTGGTCCCCACAAAATGTCGTTCAGAACAAAATTTGGATCGGGGCCCATAACACTCTCACTTTTTATAATTAGGGTTTTGTTATGGTACTCCAACATATGGAATATTTTTTTAGTGTATGCAATATTTATTGGGCACTCGTTATCCTTGTTTTGTAATATAAATTTTTTTGAGCAATAATATTTTTCATTATTAAGAGAGGAAGATAAATATTTATATAGGGAACTAATAACATTCTATTAGTGATTAAAAAAAAAACAATAAATGAATATTCTATGTTGGTGATGTCACATTTTATGTGAATGATGTTATTCTTTACTATAATAGATAAATTATTTTCTTTCTTTCAAGAAATCTTATTTACTCTTGATTAATTACTTAAAATATCTCTAGACCAAAAAATTATTACATTGTGATGTAATGATATCATATGTCTAAAAATATTGAGTATATTAAAGAAATACTCCATATATACGAGTACCATAACAAAACCCAATTAATATTTTGGAGGGTTGAGGTTTTATAAAGTAACAAAGGCTTGGAAAATATGGTTGTCACTCTAACCTTTAACATGATAATTTCCACCTCAATAATAATGATTAATGAAAAGAATAAGATTTTAAACCTGAAAAATGATCCATATTGCCAAATATTTTGTGGACTATTTATTTAAAATTTCAAGTCTTTATTGATTCATTATATTTACGTTATTTTCAGAACTTCAAATTTCAGAATTTTGGGGGAAAATAGATATGTTTGGACATATCACAAAGGTTGCCAATATCATACACTTTTTTGGACGAACTAAATTTCATGAAATCATAATAGAGTTCATTTACTTTTAGTATCAAAAGGTCACAATCACTCCTATTTGTCCGATTTCAAATCAGGTGGTTGCAAGAATATTATTGACTAGACTCAAAGTTAAAAAAAAAATTTCTCGAACTTCATAACATAATTCAAGCCATCCAATTTAACATTGAATGGCTAGAAGTACTTGTGACCTCTTTATAATAAAGATAAATAGTCTTATAGTATACAATTCCTTAATTTAGTGAAAGTTAACCGGTTCCCCCGGATTGGTTTTACACAAACCTCCCTTGAATATTCCCCTGGTACTATTTATCTTTTGAAGATTAGTTTATGAGTCAAGGGACTCATTTCTACATTGGCAACAATGAGGTATTAACATCCATCTTTAAGATGGATGTAAAGTTGTGGTCCCTGAATAAAATCTAGTGCTTCAAAGCTTTTTTTCAAAAATTTATCTTTTTAGCTTTTAAGCTTTTAACTACTTTTTTAAGTGCTAATGATCTCCAGAAACTATATACATTTTCAAGATTTTTTTTTTTGGACAAATTCTATTTTCAAGATTTTCACTCCTTGATTTTAACCGTTTTTTAAGTTTAAAATTTTATAATTAGATATGAAATAGATTTTGAGATAATCTTTAGAATCTTTTACTACGGAATTATAGGTTATGATAAAATTTGAAGGTGCGCTTTAATTTGATTATTTAAAGTTGTCTTATAGAAACCACACCATTTATCTTTTTTAAACATCCCAAATAACCTTTTTATATATTTTCCAAAGAAAATGCCCTTTCTTCTTCTTTGACTACGTGCTTAAAATCTCGCAAAAACGGTGGGACAGCCCAATATCCAACCATATGTTCTCTCTCAGTGAGTTGTCTCCTCCACCAATTCTCTGTCTTTTGTTCTCTCTTCTTCTTCTTCTTTTCTTTTCTTCTTCCACGTTTTTTTTTTTTTGAGAACGTGCGTAAAATCTCGCAAAAACGGTGGGACAGCCCAATATCCACCCATCTGTTCTCTCTTAATGAATAGTCTCCTCCACCATTTCTCTGCTTTTGTCCTCTCTACTCCACCTCTTATCCCTCACACATGCTCTTTTACCCCATACTATCAATTTTCTTTATCTCCAATCCCCCATTCCACCATTTTTTTTCTCTCTCTACCTTGTTGCGTGTTGAAGTAGTTACTGTGGCATCCTCTCTGGCAGGCCCATTGGTCGATGGAATCGCCTCACCTTTGATGTTTTTATCGAGGAATTGTACACAATGTGACCATTTGCCTTTGATAAAAGGTGGTTACAATTATTTATAACGAGTGGTTTAAAAAATGGATAGGGAGGCTCAAAAACCTATTCGGATTGGTGAATCGGCATTTCAAATTGGAAGTTGATCGAATCGGTCATCTACATGAGGTGTGACATCACTGACATGGAGTATTAAATGTCTCCAGTGTGCTCCATGTTGGTGATGTCACATCCATGTGGATGACGTCACACACCTCTTAATAACAAAAAATACTCTTATTAAAAAAAACTCCATATACAAAATAAATGTATAAAAGTTTTCAAAATTTATTGAGTACAATAATAAATTACTTCATTGTGAGTACTTTAATATACCTTTATTTATAATACAAGGAAGCCAAAATAATTGTTGTCCATCAGATTTAAAATTATGTGGTTGTGAATGTGTCTTCGACTAGACTCAAAGTTTAAAAATGAAGTTTTTGAACTTTGTGACGTCCCCCAAGCCTTCCAATTTGATATCTAGTGGTTAAGAGTAATTGTGACCTCTTTGTAATAAAGATTAACGGTCTCAAAGTATGCAATTCCTTTACAATATATGCGTACAAAATGTGCACTTCATATCATGAAGTTGATTGATGCCACCGAGCCCTTTGTTGTTATGATGATCTTGTCATCAATTTGAATGGGGAAAAAAAGATTACTCCGCTTTACAGATGAGCTGTTTCTTATATTCGTTTCTCTTAATCCTTGTCCACATCCTAACTTATCCTATAGCCTGCAATGTTTGTTACAGTAAAAAAAAAGAAAAAAGAAAGAGAAGCATGCAAAGTTTGTAAATGGGACTTCCTCATCTCCTGTAGGAGAGTGACATGCAGGAGAGTTTGGGGTGTTGCAATGAATCATACAACAAGGTTTTGAAGAAGAGGGGAATTTTACCGATAGACCAAGAACTTGGCATTGATACTTCTTCAGTAGGGCTTGCTAGGCAATTTGCTTTGCATGGAAATGGGTTTTCTTATAATTTTGCAGCTGCAATGGCGAAATTGCAGGTTATGGTATGGGCTGAAGGAGAGATAAGGAAGAACTGTAGGGTTTTTTATCCACCTAGCATAGCTTCAATATGGAGAAGGGGGAAATATAAAGCCTAGAGAGAGAAAATTGCTTGGGGTTGGCTTTTCTTTGATACTACGTACTGCTTGGTAGGTTGGATGTCATGAGGTTGCTATTTTTTTTATCTTGAGAGTAATCTCTGTAACCTCGTATTCCATTTATATTTGCCTTCCCGTGTTATGGTGATAATATGAGAGAAAGTAGATTTATGTGGATTGGTCATGTGTACAAATCCAGTGTAACAACGGTTAGAAGGTACAAGTTGGTTCAAGTAGAAGGCTAAAAAAGAGCAACGGATAGGCCAAACAATACACAGTTAGAAGTAGTGAGAAAACATATAGGGACTTATGGTCACACTGAGGTAAGGTCTTGATAGAGCAAAATGGTAGACCAATATTTATATAAGCTGATTCCAAATAATTGAGAAAAGACTTTGATAATGATGATGATGATATTAATCTTCCTGTACAATGATGATGATGATATTAATCTTCCTGCACTATGTTGGAATTAAAGGTGGTGACAATTTATTAACTGCCATTTGCTGAAGTTGGTCGGCTTTGAATAATGTACTAACTCTTTATGGATTAAGAAATTATTGATGGGCTGGAGATTCTCTCTTTCTCAATTGATAATGGGTTAGAGATAGTCCAACTAATGGTGCTGAGAGATGACAAAATGATGGAATTGGGGAAAAGAGGTGGTGTAGAGAGAGATATGGGGATTTATGCCTCACTGAGGGTATAGTCGTTGATAGAGCATAATGGCAGATTGATATTCATATAGCTGACATCAATAATTGGAAAAATCTGATATAGAGAGAGAATAACGATAGTATGGGGAAAAAAACAATGTGTGTAAGAGAAGTGAGGAAAAGACAGCAAAACATAAAAAAACAAGAATAAAGAGAGTGAAAGATAAAAAAAAAATGGGGGAGGAGATGATCTGTACAGAGAGAGAGAGAGAGAGAGAGAGAGAGAGAGAGAGAGAGAGAGAGAGAGAGAGTAGTAGTACGGTACGGTACGGTCGTACGTAGTAGTAGTAGTAGTACGTAACGTAACGTAA